AATATTCAGCTTCCGATTTTGAGCGTGTGTTCGCTGACGTCGACGCCGACTACTAGCCATCCCCTACATTGACCCTCCCAAGAGCAAGGATGAGGCCGACATGTCTAGTATGTGACGAATGGATGATATATTACATTGTGGATGAAATAGCAAGGACAATGTGCTGATTGCCCGGTTCAGGCGCCATGTCTAGCACCATGCCTATGGCTGCGGTAAGTCGCGAACCCCGATCTGAAGATATCGTGCCTGTTCAAGCTTCAGACGCGCTAATACCTACGACAGATGTTCACCAGGAATAGGTGAGCGCAAGCTCTATTGCCTCAATTGTCTCTGTGTGTGTGTGTGTGTATTCTAACAAACCTTGCGCGCGCAGAATGATCGGATGGTAGGTAACAACATCTCCAACGTTTCAATGGTTGGCTAACTTGAGTCAACCCAGGGTCTCCTTCGTTTTCTCGCTCCAGTCCTGGCTCGGTGAGACTCCAGACCAGAAGAGAACTGCTTCGACTCCGGCCTATATGTCCGTCTTGATGTCCTGTACGTGTACACATTCTGCCCCCGTTACAAGGGACTTGTGAACTAACTGCTGCATGCGCTTATAGTGATGGCTTTGGTGGTTGTATGTTGCCAGAAAATCCCGACGAACGATAGGATCCTCTCTAATGTGCTTTCTATAGACCTACTTCCCCATCTTCCTGCCTCCCCAGAATGCGCGCGCTGCCCCGGGCGCTACTGCTTCCACCACTCCTTCCCCTTAAGCGACAACCGTTTCTGTGATACCATTGCCGACGAGTTCCGATACACTATAATACCACGAAGTTTTTCAGTTCACATTAAAAAGGGAAGAGTTGAAAAGTTGGGTTTGACGGTAGTAGAACGACGAAGGACATGAACAGTCCAGAGCCCTACGGCCACCTGTCATTTACTTTTCTGTACAGGGCGAGATTGTGATGCTATATGAACATCCTAATACCTCAATTGCCATAATATTATCATTATCTCTTTAGAGAAGCCTGAACATAGTTTGATTACCAAAGTTACTGTGGCGAGCTTGGGATGCCGTACTAGCCGTCCACAACACATTTCAGGGGTCCTGTGTCTCAGGCATCGGTGCACATGTATGGCATGAGCTTGGCATGACGGATTTGCTATGTAAATCATATGCTAGACAGCGATAGACAAGCTCAACACTGCGTAGAACCTACGTATGTATGAGGGGAGCCCGGGGGAAACGGAGGGAGGGAGAGGAGAGAGCCCTTGGCGGTTGCCACCGATGTCCAATCAGCGCCCCGATTTGGAAACCCAATTATAACATTTGTCTAGAAGCGCGACGCCTCTTCAGCCCGCCAAAAAGCTAAAGGGTAGCAATCAGAATGAACCTTGAACCTAAGAGACGGGCCAGTCATGGATGGAACGTACCAGATCACCGCGCTGGAAGGGGGGAAAGAGGGCTTAGTCACGGCCACACCGCCTTCCCCCACAAGGGCGCTAAGGCAACGCCGCGCCCCTCAAAAGGCTCTTCTGTTCTTCTTCCTGTTTCCTTCCCGACCACCACCTCATCCACTTTTGAACCTCCAACTCCAAGTCTCCCAAGACTCTACGATCACTTCGATTTCCACAGAGATCTAATTCTCTCCCCTCGCTCACTTCCTATACACCGCTTTTAAGGGCCGTTTACGACGAAAGGCCGAGTTTATGTCCATCGAAAACCTTAAGACCTTCGGTGAGTCGCTTCGCCACCTTTTCCCCCCTTCTGTGGACATCGTCCCCAGGCGCCCGCAGCACTGCCCGCAGCAGATGTTGGTCTTCCTGCGATGGTCTTTCGAAAAGATCATTCTGAAGTAGACTCTGTCTGCTAAGGCTTGGCTGTGTAGCCAGGGTGGTCCTTTTTGTCCCACTGCGTCACAAGTTGGCGGGGTAATATTTGGTCATGAGAGCCTGAGGCTGACACGTGCTCTTCCACAGACCCCTTCGCCGAAGCTGACGAAGACACCGGCGAGACTAAACAGTCTCAAAATTACATCCATATACGGATTCAACGTACGTTCTATTGTTGTCCCTTCCACGTGGTGCCTTCACCCCTGTCATCGTCGCTGGTGGCGCCACGCTATCTCACCATCTACCTATGACTAACACGTATTCGTCCACAGAGCGCAATGGTCGTAAGACCTTGACTACCGTCCAGGGTCTTCCTAAGAAGTTCGATCAGAAGAAGATCTTGAAGGTCATCAAGAAGAAGTTCGGTATGTTGTCGCCTACTACCTACCTACATCGCCATGCCACTAACATACCCTTTCAGCCTGCAATGGCACCATCGTCAACGACACTGAGATGGGAGAGGTGATTCAGCTGCAGGGAGATCAGCGTAAAGATGTTCAGGAGTTCTTGACCGACAAGAAGGAGGGTCTCGAGCTGGACGCCAAGACCATCAAGGTCCACGGTTTCTAAGCCAGACGCCACGCCCCCGTTCCGGTCCCTTCTTCCCAGTCTACGTTTCCCTCAGAGCGGTGCGGCAGGGGACAGTATATGTCCACCTGCCCTCCTTCTGATGTGGCATTGCGGTCCCCGCCACTGCCACGAGGGTTGTTCGGTCTAATATATTGTCTGCTGCTATTACCGCTCTTTGCCCGGAATACTGGACTTGGGCCTTTTGTCGAATTGATGCACTATCAAGTTGGTCATCTTTCCATTCGCGACTAGGCAATGGAAAGAGGCCCAGTGGGTCTGGCTTCCCTGACTCGACTGCTACATCTGGAATGGGATAATGACGGAACAAGGCGTTGGTAGATACCCAATATCTTCATAGATGATTTACTTCTTCTGTTTTCTACTTCTTCTGTGTCGTGTCTTCTGCTTGGCTTCGTGTGGCCACCAGTACGTGAAAGGACATATTTCGGCCTGCTTTGTTGCAAGGGTTGATTAAAGGATGGGGAGGCTTGGTCTCGATCACTCGTTATTCTTTAAATGTTCTAGTCGTTGGTGTGTTGCATTACCGCCTTCAACTGTCATTACCGTATCCTTGCTCGAGAATGAACTTTCATTCCTGGCGGAATGGTTTTGGTGAAATACTCTTTTTTCCTGCTTCCAATCTTTACTCTTACTCCAATCTTCGTAGTTGTCGTAGTTTTAAGCAGGTTACGAATGTGTCTAGGGAGTACACAGTTGTTGTGTCGTAGGTTTAAGCTATTTACGAACGTTGTATTAGCGCAAGAGGGTACACAATTGGAATGATGGCTAGTCTATGGAAGCAGGCATTGCGCCGCGGTACATCTGTCGATAAAACTAATCCCTTCTAGCTTACAATTCCCCAAGTGGAGCCCGCCCGTCCGACACTCGCATGCGAAGGAAAATAGCCACGGCCCAATCCCAAAGCTTGCGAGTGATGACGAAGACGGGCACTTCGGGCTCATTCTCACGCGTCAGATGCAACTGAAGGAGAAGCGATGACATGCTGACGAAACTGGCCACAGCCACGACGAGAAGTGCAGCTGCGGTTTCACGCTTGATTGTCGCGTGATTCTGGGTAGCATGGTAAAGGAAGGTAAGGGTCTGATTTGGAAGAAAGAAAGGGAGTTAGTTTGACACATTCCGATGATCCCAGGGAGTTATGCAATGAGGGTTGAGTTCAGGAAGCTTACAGTGGTAATAGATATCCAGGCGGGTAAAAGACAACGGGGGTCGGACGAAGCTCCGGAGAGGTAGAGGACCCAAGAAGTGATATAAGCAATCAAACCGTTTGTAGTAAGGAGACGAATAACAACAGCTGGTGGGGTATAGTTCAAAAGCCTGGGGAGGTTAGTGATAAATCACATGAATGTTGGGATCCGAGGTTTGGCATACCATCGAGACATCATACAATCAGCAAAAAAGTAGGAAAGATACGCGGATGCACTGCACTGTAGTCATAGTTAGACCTATGCTCCCAATATACAATGCTCCGAGAAAAACAGAGAAAAGATAATCACATACCCACATAATAGCCAAGGCCACCTCTGTTACCCGGAATCGTCTTTCAACATCCCAGTCTTGACTAACACTCCCGACAATCGCCGCCGCCCACCCCTCATGTCCTATGCCTGGTCGAATATGCAGCAGTTCGGCCAGGAAGGTGAAAGCACACCGGAGCCCCCACCACGCGGCGGGCACGGTGCTCAGCGCGCGACAGATCAGTAATGGCAAATACCATTTCCGATCAACTCCTAGAATGACGGCCACTCGGGGATGAAGGGCAGAAGGGACCGAATGACCAGCATCGTTGATACTAGGAGTGGGGGAGGTGGAGGAGGACGGGGAGGGCGGAACGACGGTCGAGGGGGCGGAGGAGGGGGCCACGGCTTTATCGTTGGAATCCACTTTTGAGAGTATGGAAGCCAGAGTAGTATAGAATGAGGAGTTGGGGGTCGTGGGAAGGGAATCCGACAGCGAAGCAATCAAGTCAGGTTCAGGAGAAGACGACCGGGCATGAGACGTTGAGAAGGATGGAGAAGCAGCATCACGATAAGGAGGAGCCAGCCTTAATACCCCGGCATATGCGGCCGTCACGCAAATATTACCCGAATAAGCGGCAGGCAGATCCGACGAGAAAGAGTTGTTGGTAGTGGTAGGTCCAGAGCTAAATTGTCTCTGTTCGGACCCCTAAGCGGTATAGTACTAGATTCTCTGTTTGGTGCACGGCGAAACTCCACGAAACAATCAGGTAGGCGGTGCTATGTCCGCGGCGGTCGGGAATGCTTGGGAAACGCAACGGAGGGCAAGTCCGAATCAATGAGCACACGCTCCTCCTGTCGTTCGAGAGAGAAGGCCGAGAAATGACGCTGGGGGAGATGCACGACAGGCGGGAAAGTGCATGGGAAGAACTTCAATCAAAGTGAAGCCAAATCAGCCAAAAGGCGAGTCTCGCGGCGGAGAACCACCCGCCACGTGACCCCGGGGCCGCTCGGCGGAATTTCTTTGGCTTCGTTTTCGCGCTTCATCTCTTGCGTCCAGCTCTCCCCCCGGCCTCTGCGTCTTGCTCTGTCCCGTCTGTCGAGGTTTTTCCCTCTGGCCGCTATTCTCGTCATGGCGTCCTCGCTGTCCAAGGGCCCCGTTTTCTCGGCCATTCGATCCAGCAACGCTCCCTTCTCTGCCTTCCACTCCGGTCCGGCCATTGCTACACCATGCCAACGCCGATACCTCTCCCAATCCTCTCAGCGCAGTGCTGGCCTCCGCGGCATGCCTCAGAACATCTCCATGCCATCGCCTGCTCAACCTAGTATGCGAACCCGGGGTAGGGGTATGCCTAGGACGGATCTCCCCCAGGACATCGGACTTTTGCCGGGCACCTTCATCCGGCCGCTTTGGAGAGACATGCCCTCTATCTTCCAGCAACCCTCGGAGCGTTTACATATGGAATGGCTGTGGATCAAGTCGGCTTTTCAGAACTTCGTTGGGTAAGTCCCTATCCCTCCAGAACCGCCGCTCAATGGCTGCCAACGTCCGAGCTGCTAACAATATACCAGAATCCTCGCCTACTGTAAATGGCTCAACAAGGGACTTGCACTCAGACTGAGAGAGCGTCGACAGATTGCTGCTGAATACCACCAGAGGATGTACACTGCATTTGCCGCGTAAGTGTCCAGTCCACTCGTCCTACGACATCTCCCTCTCCATACAACTCATTAACAATCCTCGCGAAACATAGCGGCGATACTTCTACCCTGCGCAAGGTGTGTTGCACCGGTCTTGCCAACCAGCTGAGCACCCGCATCGCTGCTCGTCCCAAGGGCGAGCGTGTCACTTGGAACCTGGACAGTTACATTCGCTCCCCGGGCACCTACTTCACCGGTGTTCGCGTCATGTCGGATCGTGCGACTCAGATCCCCGAAATCCCCAACTCCGGAGTTCGCCAGGTCGTCCTGCGCATCACCAGCCGCCAGTCAAAGGGCACGACCAAGGCATCTCCCAACGGTGCCCCCGCTGACAGCACCGCCGTGGCCAACAACACCAAGCAGCAGGACTGCACCGAATACCTCGTCATCCAGCAGTTCCGCTGGGCCGGTGAGGAAGACCAATGGCGCGTCTGGGGTCACGCTACCCCCACGACCGTGGAAGACCTGGAGAGTCCCTTCTTCGCCCGTGGCATGAGCTTGGCGGACCGCATGGAGGCCATGAAGGAGACGATGACTGGAAAGAAATAAGCCAGTCAACATCCGATCCTGAAACCCAAACCCACCATTTGTAAAACAAGACCTGAGTACAACCCAAGCCCTCCTCTCCACTTAGGGGCCACTCCTTGAACCAGCAAACAAGGGCCGTGTGTGGTTTGCAAGGCCCGCATTGCATTGTATTGATACGCAGTGACGAAGCACAGCATAAAAGTGTGTTCATCTGTTAGCTTGGTATCTGCTACTATTACTACTTACTACTACACATCATCTCCCCCTCCCCTCCCCCCAATCCTCTTGCATCTGCCGTTGGCTGCGGAATCATCTCACTGCTGCTTCGCATCCAATTCGATTCTTATCATGTGTTATTGAGAACTACCCGATACCATGCAGTCGATTGATCCTTGCGCGCTTTTGTGTTCGTCGTTTGTTCCTTGTCTTTGACGACAGACGGACTATATCTGGGCTCATAGCATATCATTCTCGCTGCGATTCTGTACTATATCTGATTGGCTATTATCTCACCAATTTGAGTCTTGTAATTATTTACATTTCAATTACTACCTCTTGGGGCTTACAGTACGGGTTTTAGTAATTTTAGGAGATGATTAGTTGGGGACAGTTACCGTTTCGTATCCTGGTATCGAAGGCATCGAAAAACCAATAATCACAGCGGCCTACCCATCCCAAGGGAAATACTATGTACACATGGTAGTAATAGCAGGGATTGGCAAGAACAATGGAAATAAAATAAAAGAACAAGAATGGAGGCGGTTAGATCGTAGCAAAATGGGAAACGTGGTATTCGCGTAAGATTAAGGGCAGCAACAAGAACTGCGAGGTTGGGGTTCGTTCAGTAACTTGCGGGTCAATGGGCAGAGGCGATGGATCTAGTCGTCGTCGAAGATTTGGAAAGTGTTGACTAGGACAGTCTCAATGACTCGGACCTGCCAGCCGGCATCTGCAATGTTGCCGCCAGAATTGGCACCCATAAGGGTAGGTCTGGGATTGTTAGTCGGCAAGATAGAGAGGGAAAGACTGTCACGACTTACCCGAAACAGATGGCAATGTTCCCGGCGTTCATCCGATTTTGTGTGTAATGCTCTTGGATTTTGTTGAGATGCTGCAATGTATTAATTCACAGGTCTTTAATTAGGGCAGGGCTGAGTTAGTAGACATACCAGTATCAAAGCCCTCAACGTAGCGTAATGAGCATCCGGAAGGTTGTTAACTAGCGCATGGAGTGAATCACGGCGCTGGATGTCATCATCGATGCCTAGATAGGAGTGGTTAGTGCACAGTCATACAGTCTTGGTTAAGGTTACTTACGGGCCGCATTAATGAAGTCGTTGTAGAAATGTGATGTGAACAGCGGGTCCGGCAGGTCCCGGAAGAACTGTTTCAAGAGCCCAGCGACACTGTTAACATCATGATAAAAGTTCTCTGGGTTAGTAAAATCGACTTGCGATGAATCTGCCGTTCGTTAGTTAGGGCTCATTCCTAGTGACTCGAGAGGCCAACGCACCATTGTCGAACAGCGCCTTCATGTGGCTGATATGAGTGGCACTACCAGAAAGTCGATAAATACCCTCCATGTCCAATCCAAAAAGCTCAATAGCCTGGAAGCATTGGTATACAATCATTGGGACGGCTGTCCCATCCCGGGTATATAGGTCATCCAAAGATACACCAAACACCGGCTTCAAAGGAGGAAGGTTAGGGCTAGGCTGGAAGCCATTCCCAGTTGGTCCCAGCGGCGTCTTCGCCGGTAGCGCAGGAGCTTGATTCAAGTGATGTTGCTCAGATCTCGATGTGGGATAGGGAGGCTGGAAAGGCGGAGACGAGTATGAATCAGGGTTTTGTGGATATGGCAATGATTCAGTGGCTGGGGGAGAAGCAAGTGCCGGCGCCGGCGCCGGAGCTGGAGCCGGAGCAGACACCGGAGCTGGTGCTGAGGGTTGAGACGATGCCGGAGTAGAAGAAAGGAGGTTTGATTGCGAGAATGATTGAGGCAGGAACATTGACTGGCGCTTATTCTGCGTGGTCGGTTGCGAGGCAGGCACAACGGGCCCGGAAGATGATCCTCCAAGTGTCTGGTATGCAAGACTTAGCTAAGAAAATATTGGCATCGGTACATGCAGGACTCACCGGATGACGTTTGTATTGAATTTGGTCTGAAGTCACAGCAGCAGGGTTCCGCTCATGGCTGAGAACGTACTCGTTGAAGTCCTTCTCATTGTCAATTTGAGAAACGACTTCATACAAGCTCTTTGGAGCAAGAGCAGGGTTGGCCGAGCCATCTTTCAATGGGCTGATGGCTAAACCTTGTCCAAGAAGCAGCTTCTCGTTAAAGGTTGCTATAAAGTGGTTAGCATGGATCATGCAACGAAGTGTGAGCTTCGAGCGCACCGAATTTCTGCAACTGCAGTGTGAGACCAGAATCGCATTCCGCAATCAGCTTCTGAATGTTTTTGACCGCCTCAGGTCGCAGGGTCGAAACCAGCTCCTGTCGCGCCGACTGTGCAGCCTGGACCTTGGAAGCATAGTCCGAGTCAGCGTTCTGAACCTTGCGCAGCAGCTCTTCTTCATGCTGCGCAGCCGACTTGTGACCCTTCAAGCCAAACTTTCCACCCTGCTTATCACCGGTCTTGACCCGGTCGTATTGTTCGGCAAGCGATTCGTACTTTGCTTTTGCCTTCTCCGCAGAAGTTTCCGCTTCCAGTACCCTCTTCTCCGCACTCAATCCGGTCTGCTTCCATTGCTTACGGCCCTTTTCAATAGTGGACGCGAGTTCGTTGAGATCATCGGCCATCTGCTGCAGAGACACGGAAAACTGAAGTCCGTGGTCCGCCATGCGGTCGTGGAAACGATTGAGTTCATTGTAATTGTGACTGTAAGTACCTTGGCGGTTCTCGTTGCGGTACGCAGAATCGTGAAGGGAACGAGAGAGCTTCCGCAGGCCTTGCGCATGCTCTTCTTCCAGGGATGAGCGTTTCTTGAGGAAAGTAGAGAAATCCTGTAGCCATTGGCGTCATCGATTAGCGTCCGTGTGCTTTCTTTGTTACTTGACAGCGGTGGGGGTGGAACCTGAAACGCACCTTGGCCGAGGAGACACTTTGCTTTAGTCGGGTCAGGAGAGTGGTGACACCGATCTATAAATGAGGGACCTTCCCATCAGTATGCCATGACCTAACTCCATAAACATGCCATAGACATTACGCACATCTGAGTAGACAACTTTGTCCAGACGACCCTTCAATTCTTCCGACATAGGGGCTGGGCCGGGACGGGGCTCTAGAGCTCCGGGGTGGCCGGTAGAGCCGGCACTCGATGGTGGCGCATCGGGGTCATGCGCTGGACTATCGTGTAAAGCGGAGTCTGCCATGGGGGTTTTTGTGCGGGAAAGGCGTTAGGGCGACTAATGAGTGAAGAGACAAAAGAAGCACAGATGTACTGAAATAGTTGGTTGGAGGGGGTGGGAGGAGTGGGAGTGGGTATATAGTTAGATAGTGGTTGATAGTAAGGAAGCTTCGGGGGTAATTGCGGAAGCCTACGAACTCCCGACAGCTGGAGAGTTGCTATTCCGGGTAAGGCTGCCGTGGGGGAGGCTGAGGTGGTGTGTGTGGCTGAGTATTTAGTCACTGGTACCTGATTGCGTTGTGTTCCTTACCGTAGGCTACCACTTACTGCATTGATCTACTCCCTAGTTAGTTACTACTCTTGATTGATAATTATGTCACTTGCATCATTGTTGCCATCATAATTCTGATGATTAATATCATTATTGGATTTAACTAACCAAACTATCGAAATCAGATGACTTTTATTATTTTTATGCAGAATCAATATGCACCTACGTCATATGTCTGGAATGTCAGATACCAATGATCTGTTCTAGATAATACTTTGTATAATTTGCGTATCCAGAGTGGATCATGGAATGTACCATGGGGTACTTGAGATAAGCTTTCATTTACCAAAAAATTAATTGCTGGATCGAAAGATGCTAATTCAATCCGTCATCTAGTTACTATCTTTATAGTTACTACGTAGTTTATTGGTGACTGCAAAACCAGGCAGCCACCCAGCTGACTCAGCTGCCATCAACCGCCGAGATTCGCGAGAGATTTCCTCCGTCACCCACCAAAACCCACCCAAAGTTTTCTGCCGATTTCCGGCACCTGCACGCTGGTTCCTATCTGATTGCGCTCATCATTTTGCATGTGTTAACGGGTCCCGCGGTTCCTAAGACCGTCGGATGTTTCTTGATTTATACTGATGGATCTGGAGTTCCGGGGTGTCCTCGCACCGACTGGGTTGGCGACGCATGCCAATCTGATAACTCCCCCGGCCTCCTCTAGCGACCTTCGGAGCACCCCGAGGCTGCCCCGGCCGGTGACTGGCTTCGACTTCGCCTCCAAAAATTTAGACTCTTGCGGCATGGAGAAGATCCCCGCCATCACGGGCAAGCGGAGGGGTGGCTGTAGAAAGGCCTGTAATGAGTGTAAACAGCAAAAGGTAAGCTAATCTCGATCTCCGGCCTGTCGGCATACTTTCTCCCCATGTGTCTCGGATGAGAGGATCTATGCATATCACTATCGATGCTTAGCTTCCTTCCTCCACTCGCCCCATCTTATCTCATCTATACGACTGGCTGAACATGGACCTTGTCGATTTTCACAGCTTCGATGCGACATTGTGCAGACTCCGGCGGACGCTTGTTCGCGCTGCCGCCGGCTTCAGATAGAATGCAAAGTCGAGCCCACTTTTAAACGCATCTCGAAACGGAGGTAGCTTCTCACCTTCGATCCCCTCTCCCTATTGGACCTCTTGATTCCTGACCAGTCATATTTGCAGGCGTAATGCTGAGATGGAACGGGAGATCGCAGAGCTCCGGCGGCGGCTTGCTACTGGTGACCAGTCGCAGTCTGTAGAAGCCAATGGCAGCGACGAGCTCTCCCAGTGTTCCGAGGATGTATTCTGTCCTCCTGATGCGGCAGTTGCGAGCAGGGCGCGGCCGCTGTCGGCGCCGCTGGAGCCTCAGCCTATGGCTACCCCTTTGACCATGCACAGAGATGGGTCTATTCTTTCCCAAGATGATAATCCATGGAGGCTGGAAGATGTCTCACTGTCCAGGACAAGGGTTGCCCGTCTCTTTGAACAGTAATATACTTGCTCTACCTATTTATGCTACTGTAGCTTACAGACATCCAGGTTCTTCAAGTACTATCACCCGTTCCTTCCCCTGTTGAATCCGCAGAAGCCTCCGGATGAGTATCTGCGCCGCTGTCCTTTGCAGGCCTGGTCTATCATCTGCGTCGCTAGCCGACGAGCGCCCTCGGAGCCGGGGCTCCTGAGCGCACTCTCGGGGCCTTTCAGCAGACTGCTTTGGTCTACCATTACCGGAGTTCCCCAAGACTACCGTGTGGTCAAGGCTCTTTGTCTTCTCTGCACCTGGCCATTGCCGACTACCAGTCAGAGGACTGATGCTACCTTTATGCTTAGCGGATTGATGATGCAGATTTCCATGCAGCTTGGATTGCACCGTCCGGTCCAGGCGGAGGAGTTCACTACTTTCCGGATGGAGGTTCAAGGCGAGGCCGTCAAGGATCGTCTGCAGACGTGGGTCATTTGTAACATTGTGGCTCAGAAGTAGGTTCGCCTACCCTTGTTGCTAGCGTCTGCTAACTGTAGTAGCGTCGCCACCGGATACGGCCAACCTCCGTCAACCATCTATGACTGGGCACTCGAGCCCGCATCGCTTCGAGATGCAGACTACCAGCCTTCTGAAGACCTGAAGACTCGACTGCGCATTGAGAAGTTCTGCGACCGTGTAACCAAAGCACTATACAGCAGCAAGCCTGACCCGGTGGAGTTCATTAGCTCGGAGAAATTGCTGATTGTGCAGCTTCTGGAGAATGAGCTTCGGGACATGGAGGTTGAATTCGGCCGCGATATTTCCAGTGAGTTGTCCGGGTGCGTTGATATTGTTTGGCGGACACTAACTTGCTCTACAGACATTAATATGATCCATCTACGAGCAGCTGAGCTGCATCTACGTTACTTTGTATTCCTAGGTTCTAGCGCACGAAGTGATGATTTGACGAAATTATTCATCGCTACTACATCGTTCCTCGGTCGTGTGCTCGACCTGGAAACCTTACCTGGCGAGCTTATCGGGCACGCCACCAACTACATTCTGCAGATGATTGTTTCCGCCGCATTTGCACTCATGAAGCTGCTGAAGAGTGACTTCCGACGCCACATCGATTTTGAACATGGGAAGTTGTTGTTTAATGGAGCCATCTCGGCCATTAGGAGAATTAGTGTCATGGACCACGACCGTCCAGTGCGACTGGCAGATATTCTGGCGCAGATGTGGAATGCGGGCAGCCCCGAGGGCCCGGCGGGAGAGGACGCCTTGCAGCTGAAGGTGCGCTGCCGGATGAGCATGAGTCATGTCTATGACACTGTCTGGCGTTGGCGGCAGCGATTCCGCCCAATGAAGAGCATTGAGGATCCGCAAGGTATGTCCATCATATTCACGATGAGGATCGTATCCACTAACCTGGGATAGCTACCATGGCGAACCCTAGTCTTCCCGCCACGGCCGGTCCCATGACCCGGCAGCAGCAGGAAGAAGCGCTGGCGGACCCAGGGTTGATTTACCCCCCGAACTTCGATCAAGGGGCCTTCATCAGCGAAGCCGGATTTTCGGAGGTGTTCGATTCGCTCAACTGGGTGTTTGATGGGATTCCGGACACGTTTGTTGCGCCCCCGGTCATGTAGGACCAGTTCGCGGCATTGCATCTCAGGCGTCGGTGGGAGTTTCTGTTTCATGCGAATTGACAGCAGTGTACTCACAAAAAAAACAAAAATGGGGATAGGATGGACGATGCGGAGGAAAAGAAAAGAGGAGGGGCATATAGATTCCTGTGGATACCTTGTACGCTGTTCTGTACATATGTTCATGCTTATGACGTTCCCACTAGATACCATTGAGAATTGATAGCGTTAAAATGAGTTAAGATTAGCTTAATGGATGACGGATCGGAGTAGTTTTTGTGTCACCCAGTGAGTAAGTACTACTAGACAGGTCACACAACTTGGGGAGCCCTCCTACCATAGTAGCCTTCTTATCTTCCAAGGATTCATACAATGCCGATAGAATTGAAAGTGGACTACAGGGAAGAAAAGCATCATTGTAGAGCTAAACTACCATGACAATAGTTAATTTATATCAGATCACAAAATTTGACTTTACCAGATCGGCACTATGTAACAATGATGGTAGTGAGAAGTAGTTAGTTAGGTAGGTAGAGACTTTGAGTCAGTACTACTGTCGGGATAGGCCCGACCCGATCCAGGGTAGTACTTAAGTCTTACAGTAGATAAGTACTACCCACGGTATAACCATCATCATCATCATCATCATCACGAGACCAAATCTCAAAGTACCATACAGTAGTAGTACTTCCTTCCAGGGAAAAATGACTATCAGGGATTTAGAAATAAATAAAACCCTCATGCCACGCGACAAATCGGGAGATGAAAACCCCCAAAGGCTTGCATTGCAGATGCCGCCCAGATTAGGCGCGACCTTCAGGACGGACTACTATTCGATCGGAAAGGTGACCGGGAACAAGGGCGCTTCATCCTACTGTAAGTACTAAGTAGGTAGGTAGGATGCATCTGTAGGTAGTGTATCTAGGCTGGCTGGGGTGATATTTTTCTATTTCTAATATTAGAAATTCTTTACTACTTACTGTACTCCGTACTTTAGTTAGTAATTGTCTGTGCTTGGGTTGGTCGGTTGGTTGGTTGGTGATAGTGGTGGTGATGATGGTGGCGGTCAGACGTTTTAACTAGTTGGGATAGAGAAGGTGATGCGATGGGATGGGATGAGATGGGGATAATGGTCCGTGGGGTTAGGGAGTGAGTTAAACAGTAGTAGACGATTGGATCCGGATCCAGAGTCATGAAATGCGCGGTTGGTAGTTATCTACCTACTACTTACTATAGTTGGTTCTTTCCCCCTGAACCAGCAGGTCTGCAAGCGCCGTCCCTTGGCTCCCAGCGGTCGATCACCCAACCCTCTCTCTTTGCCTTCCCTGGGAGATCTATCTCTGATTTTCTCGCTGGGATGGAGGGGGGGGGAAGATCGAGATAAATGGTTGGTGATGATTATAATTAGTATATCTATTTATTTATTTATTTAGTTAGTTAGTTAGTTAGTTAGTAGAATAGAAATCAGGGATTGGTTGAGATGGAGTTGATTGGTGGCAGGTCTAAGATTCTCCCAGCCATCAGTTGCTCTCTCTCTCTCTCCATCTTCTCTACTACTAAGTACTAAGTTACTAGTAGTCAGTCAGGACTAACTAACTAAAGATTGTAAGTTAAGCAGCAGCAACAGCAGCAGCAACACTAACTAAGGGAGACCGACCAAGACAGACTCGACCCCATCCATTATTTTCCCTTTCTTTGGCTTCAATCCCATGATTGGTGACGGTCCGTGATACCTGTCCAGTGGCTATCTTTTCAGCAAGGTGAGCTATCCAGTCAGTCAGTCAGTAACTACCATCATTATTGTCGTTGTTGCTCTTCTTCTTCTTCTTCTTCTTCTTCTTGTTCCCTTCATCCATCCATCCCCCAACCAAAGAGATTATTCTCCACCAAAAGCCGAACTGGAACTGATTGATCCATTTCCATTCAACTCTTGCCCCCCTCTCCCTCTCCCTCTCCCTCTTAATCTTGCTACTCTCTGTCTGTCTGTCTTGTCTGTCTTCTGTCTTCCTCCCCTTCTTCTTCTTCTCTCCCTTCCCTACTCTTTTCCCTTATCCACTCCACTAGACTAACTAACTAAAACTAACCAACTAAACTCACCTTCTTCCTCTCCTCCCTTAACTTCCCTCTCCCTCTCTCCCCCCTCCCCCCAAATCCACTCTTCCATTGTCTTTTTCCTCTTGTCTGTCTGTTGTGATTGATTCAGTGCTGCGTGCAGTCTACCCATTTTATTCTCTTTATCTCTTTATTTTCTCATTATACTTTTTTTGTCTTTCTTGACTCCCTCCTCCTGCTCCGTCAGCACGGTTCGAGGTTATCATTCGTGTCGATATTCATCCGTGTCTATCTCCGCCTGGGTTGCGAATTCTCCTGACCGGTTCAACCATTAGCCTTGCCCTTTCGCAGATACCCGCTTTCGAGTTGTCCCTCTTGTCTCTCCGCCCGTCAAGCCACTATTCAGTAAACACTCGATCATAACCACCACCCCCGTCGCTCCAAGCTCCCCTGCGATAAATTCAATCCTCTTTTCGTCCCTCTCGACCTCGTCGCTACTACTGTACCTATATATTATCGAGGGCTATTCTCCCATCCCTCCTCCCAATTCGACGTGACCATGGCTACTGGTCCAGCTACTCAATCCCTCAAGGTCAGCATCATTCACCTGCGTGTCCGTCTGTCAGACTGCGGCTAACGGTGCGCTGGTGTACAGTGTGTGGTGACGGGTGATGGTGCGGTAGGAAAAGTACGTCGCTCCCCTTTCAACCAGCTCGACCTCTCTCCCCCTCCTCCTCCTCCTCCCTCCCCCCTCTCGTTTCCTACATCGGTCGATTTCGTTATCGCTGTTGCTAATCGATCAATAGACATGTCTCCTGATTTCGTACACGACCAACGCTTTCCCCGGCGAATATATCCCTACCGTGTCCGTACCCCCCTTTGGTCCCTGAATACTCCTCGTCTGTCTGCGAACCTCGTGTGTTGACCGGATGCCCCCCCAGATTTGACAACTACACCGCTAGTGTGATGGTAGATGGCCGACCAATTAGCTTGGGACTTTGGGATACTGCTGGACAGGAAGATTACGACCGTCTTCGCCCATTGTCCTACCCGCAAACCGACGTCTTCCTGATCTGCTTCTCCATCGTTAGCCCGCCGTCCTTCGACAACGTTAAAGCCAAGGTGCTTCCTTCACCTTCCCTACCGATCGGAGGCCCGCTTACTGACCCTGACGGATATAGTGGTTCCCGGAGATTGAACACCATGCCCCCAACGTCCCCATCATCCTGGTCGGCACCAAGCTCGACCTGCGAGACGACCGTGGTACCATAGATGCTCTCCGACAGCGAAAGATGGAGCCCGTCTCCTACGAACAAGCTCTGGCTGTGGCCAAGGAAATCCGGGCACACAAGTACCTCGAATGTTCGGCCCTGACGCAGCGCAACCTGAAGAGTGTATTCGACGAGGCGATCCGGTATGTTCGACCAAAGCTATTTGCTACTGGAATGGAGGAACTAACCATCGCATAGCGCTGTCCTCAATCCCCGGCCTGCGGCCAAACCGAAGAACAAGAAATGCCTGATTCTGTAGATCGTCCCAAAGGACATGTTCGACTTCCCAATAATATAAACAACTAATACGGCGTCTGGGTTACGGGGCCTGTGCCGGCCCCATCTTGATGATCTTCTTCTCTTTTTGCCTTTTGTGCCCCGTTCCTCGTCCATTTTTGGTGCCATGATCCTGATGTTGTTCTCTATTTTCTTCGGGTTCAGGATAACCTTGCCTCTCTCTCACACTCACACATTGTCCCCCTCCTCGCCTCCCTTTAATGCAGTATAAAGATGTAACATGCCATACAATACCACTCAATGAACGTGACTTACGGGTTTCTGGGATTGCAGATCTGATCTTACTTCCACAGTTGGTCCCTGGCTACTACATGAAATCTTGGGTTGTAGGGTAATCATCCAGATCTATGTTATATTCCGTGCCTGACTTCTTCACCATCATCATCCAAAATATGCACATCAGAAACAGGAAGAGTAAACGGAAGAGGATATCTCTTAAGCAAACAAGCCAAATCACAAGATACTTTTTAATCAATCCAATGTGTTCAAACAACAATAGCAGCAGTCTAAGCCATCCGGGGCCTCCGACTAGGATGAATATGAGCATAGTCATCCACACCCGTCTCCTCGACCTTCTCTAACCGCTGCTTCTCCTTCTGGATTTCCTTGGCGTTGCGCTGTCTCTCCTCGAAAAGCTTCTTGTTCTTGGCTTCGATCTTCTCTTTCCGGTCCTTGGAGTTGCCGCCGCCGCCGGCACTACCATTTACACATATGTCAGTTTGCTGTAGGGAATGATAGTGGGCATAGGTATACTCACGTCAACTCAACATTGATCCGTCGCGGCGGGTACTTTCCATCGTTGAACATGGAGTGATGGTACAGCTTCAGACAGGTCTTCATGCGGTCGTAGTTGTCGAACTCGATGAAGCCGAAGCCGCGGCACTTGGTCGGCTTGTCGACTTGGGTGGCTACGCGGACGGAAACGGGCGTGATCTTCTCGAAGTGCTTGGTCAGGGACTCTTTGTCGGCGGAGTAGGGGAGGTTTCCTAACACGATCCCACATATTAGTATAACGTTGGGTGCACATGGGCATAGGGGAAATGTGAGTGTTGGATACATACCGACGAAGCAGATAAACCGCGCATTCTTCTTATTCTGACCTTCCTGCTCAGCAGCTTCTTCGGTCTCGCCGTTGGTGGGCTGCGCCTCGGTATTCGTTTCTTCCTGCTTCTTCTCCTTCTTGGATTTCTTGTCCTTTTTGTCCTTCTTTTCCTTCTTGTCCTTCTTGTCCTTCTTTTCCTTCTTTTCCTTCTTCTCTTCCTTGGTCACCTCGGGCTCAGCCTCAGCCTCGGGCTCTTTCTCGGCAGGTGTCTCGTCGACGTCCATGGCTTCGGGCTCGGGCTCGGACTTTTTCTCCTTCTTTTCCTTCTTGTCCTTCTTCTCCTTCTTCTCCTTCTTTTCCTTCTTGTCCTTCTTCTTCTCCTCCTTCTCCTCCTTCTCAACAACAGGAACCTCCTCAACAACCTCCTCCTCCACCTTGCGCTCCTTCTTCTTCTCCTTCTTCTCCTTCTTTTCCTTCTTCTCCTTCTTATCTTCGCGCTTAGCCTTCTTCACTTCGGGGGAGGTAGCCTCCTCGGCGAGCTTGCGCTTCTTGTCACTTGCGCCCATTGTGAATTAGGATATGAAATTAAGAAAGGTTAATAAAATGAAGAATTGTATGGAATAAAGGTGTGGGAAAGAGATCGCAAGAATAGTAGATTGATCGGCGGCATTGGAAATTTCCTTTTTTTGCCGGGCGGAAGTGCGGAGCGGTGAGTGGGGGTTGGACGGGATGGGATGGTTTGGGTTTGGTGCCTGGTTGGGAGGAGGAGGTATTTGGTGCCTGAGGCAGAGAGGGGATGGTATGGTATGGGTAGGGTGATTGTTATTCACCTGTTGGTGGTGGGGCTTATTGATGGTTGATAAGATTGATAAGTGCATTGCATTGTTCTATTCATTTGATGGATACTGTTCTTGTTTATTCAGTGATTGGTTTTTTCCTATTCATGTTTGTTTTGCTGGTTGATTCACTGGACTGGAGGGTATATAAGTAGTATTCGGCTTCTCTGCCCTCGGTTTCTTTCCTTCTTACTACATCTATATACTACTTAAGTCGAAAGAAACAGACTGACTTACTGGGCCTTATTACTAGTAGTTATCTACTATGTACTTACTATAAATTAGCCTAGGATAAGCTAATCTCATACTTCACCTACAAACAATACCCGATATGAGGATACTACCTTGAAACCGTGATATATCACTAACCCTACATACTATCCATGAATGATAGATACTCCAGAGTGATGCAACAACTACAATTACACCGAACTACTCAATATGCAATAGTCATGGAAAAATGCGATTCTAATAATACCTCTTCGGCAGTTGAGAAAAATACCAGTCGAACCCTTCCAACTTGATTATCTTCTCTTCATAGTTCTATTCAATAGGTACTACAAACATGCGATATGGAAAGATACGAAGAATTCGTGAATGCTACAAGTATCGAGTTCCCGAGAGCAATTTGTCATGTACTGCACAAGTTGCTGCTAATCTGCTTGAAGCACATCCCACATTGTGGGTTTGTCTCTTCAGTTACATCTTCAACAAGATAACCCATGACAGATGAATAGAGATGCAGATTTATGGGAAAGTATCTCACCTGCACTTAACTGCAATGTCTGGTGGGACCGAGTATACCATAGTCGAGTAAGCAGCACAATGGAACCTTTGACAAGTTATACCCTCTCAAATATGTAAGTGAATCAAAGATCTACCACTAAATGTTGTCTTACCCGATGAAGGTGCTTCTACCAGACTATGGTGTACTCGTGCGGATCTACCACATATAGGCCATTAAGCAAATGCCTACCAAGACGCGGAACAAATACAGAATGCACCAGAATTGGCCCAAGAAAAAAGAAGAAGTGGACAACTATTGCCCAAAACATCTCGTATCAAGGGGTGCAGGCTTCGTGGCGTTAGGTTATTCTATGTACCTCGTTCTGCTCATGGCACGATGGTACAGACGCCATATGCGATGGCTTGGGGACCGAATTCCTACTCGTTGCAGATATACGACATAGAGGCTATTATCAATGCAGGTATGGCTTCATATCTTTAGTGTTATCAGCCAGGCATATATGGTTTTGGAGCATGCTTCGACTCGAATTCTTAACATGATGAACAATCATTTCACTATGTGGCTGGACCCAAGTTCTGCAAAGTTAAGGACTGATATATGTGCCTTTGAATACAATGCACAACAGAGATATGCCCTTGGTATATATTTGGAGGATATCGTGGCGCATCGTTCCATTATATCAAGATGGCGACATACTTACATAAAAAAAATATCTGTCTCTAGTCCGTGAACAAGCACCTCTTCGCGTGGTATCATAGTATATGTCGTATTCTGCTACCTGTGCCTGGAGACTTTCAGACATTACTGCGACTGCTTGAGCCTGACTGAGCTGATGGCCCGTGAACATGGCCATCTTTCAAACCATCACCATATACTTTCTTACGTGGTCCACGTATTTTGAGGGGCCCACTCAGGTCCAACTAGAACGCTCCAAAGTAAGTTCTCTATATTGGGATCCTGTGATAACATACCGTTATGTCATTGATAGATATTGATATCAACTAAGATTATGGTTATGTGACGTCCTAGAAGATGCCGGTGTGGTCGTTTCGGAGGGGGTATATAGGTATGACGCTGTCATGATACATCCCATTGGGTAAGATCTGCCCTGCCTGAATGGCCTCTAGACTTAAAGACCATATGGAGGGGTTGCCTTGCCTTTACTCTATGCAGACTGATTTTTGACCCTATTGTGTCGCGGTCTTCCTGAGGTGGATGGCCAACCAATATATACAATAGCAGTCAACAGGATTGGGAATCACCAACCACGGCCTGAGCATGCGAGGTCTCAATATACCATATGAGCCGGTAATGAATGGCCAGGATGCTACAAACACCAATATCGAGGGGATTTAAGTCGAATTCGTCCTTGGTACTGCTGTGTGGCATAAGGTTCGCCATAATGCCGCGTTGGAATTTGTCAGGAAAGAGCCCTTTAACCTTATTATAATGAAGCTAGACATTACAATATCTTGACACAGAGAGCTCGGAGACCTCGGACGATGAGGACTTTTAAACTGGAAAGCTAACAAAGTCTAAGGGTATGTCCAGCTAAGAAAAGATTCCTACGGATTTACTAATATGATAAACTTATACTTCAAATAGTGAGTATGGAACAGTTTGTGTGGGATGCGGACGACTCGGTTGGAATTGTCTCAACAATTAATAAGATCACTTGCAATCAAGATCATGAGTTCTTTTGGTGTCTATATCTCCAATTATGGCATCTTAGCTCTAATATTTAAACTTTACGCATTCTAACGTTTCTGCGTCTTACTTATGCTCTATTCTACACTGATGCGTTCTACCATTCTGCACTCTTCAAAACAGAAAAGGAGCAGGATTCCGCCTTCCCATACCAGGAGTAACTGGATGTCTCCTTGTTCTGTACTTCCTTATTCTGTATGTCTTTAGGATAAGGGGATTGCTGGAGATTTTCTTTGTCGAACCCGGCAGGTCAATCTTCGCTGGCATGTTGAACTACTCCTTGTATTAAAGGCCTTCCAATACTCTGTCAATGTTAAAACTAAAATAAAAGACATTGAACAAATGTTAGTTTTGCTCCTAGTACATTCATGTCCGCGGCTGGTTATAAGAACAAAGCCCTAACAGGCTGGAGTGCTTGATAGTATGCATGTGTTCTCACAAAGAGATGACCGGATGTTTCCCGTTTGACATAATTCCAGAAAGAATTGCCTGCATTTGGAGCTCTAGCAGTGGCTGATGCATTACTCACTGTAACAAGACCAGGTGATTTTCCGTCCAGAAAGTTTCACCCTTAACAACCTCTTCGACAACTTTCCCTCAGAGCATAAATACAACAAAAGGCCTGCTCTAGTGTGTTTCTACTATCATTACTGCTACATCTGCACCAGCGTCGACATACATACAACTCAAACCCTCTCCACCAAGATACCGTGCCATTTGTGACACTAAATCATGGACTTCTGTTTCCAGCCAGCACGAGAACATACTGGACCTTTTGTTTACGCAAAAGGAGAGGCCCCAGCCGAAAAGCTTCTGCCCGAGCTCTGGTGGGAAGTGGTCACCTATCTCACGAAAAAAGAATGGCTAACCCTTCGGCTGATCTCCAAAGAAGTGGAGAGGAAAATATTCCCCCTCCTTTACAAATTCATGCTGCCGCTTCTGCCGAGGCTTAATACAGATTTATCTCGCAAGAACATTCAGTGTATCCATACACATGCCTCGAACCCTGACCTCTGCCAAATCCCACGAGCCATGCAAGTCGCCTATCCATGGCATAATAGCTGCTTTGGTAAACAATTCAATGCCGACAGCCATTTCAAGCAGCTTTGCTCGAAGTTACCAGAGATGCATACCTTAATCAACGACCTCAAGTACTCTCTCACAAACTGTCGCAGCTTTGGGATCTGCCTAGACGTATCATTAGTCCAGTTGCAGGCTGAAAGCGAATATATCAACATCTTGCTCAAAATGCTTGCCGATGCTGACATTAATCCGGAGCAGCTTACCTTCTTCGTCCCGTCAGAAAATATATGTCGCTTTCGCTGGGGTACAGACCCATTCTTCCCTCATATTAGAGAGCCCCACAACATGATTCGCAGCTGGACTAACCTTCACACCTTGAAAATCGTCAACTTCTACGACAAAGCCTGTTATGCCTCTGTGGAACCTGCTGTCTGTCAGATCCTTAAAAAGGCGCCGTGTCTGGAGCGCCTCATTTACCAAGCTTTCGAACATTCTAGACAGGATGGGAATGTCCTGTTGCCTCTCAGCAAGGCCGGTCCCTTCCCTCGACTTAAACATCTAGTGCTTGATTCTGTTGCAGTCCATTCAGAGGACGTCCTCAGATTGTTGAGAGTCAACGGCCAGTACCTGGTCTCAGTGGGCTTCTTCCACTGTTGGAGCAACAGTCCAGAGCGCTGGAAGGCCTTACTTCAGCTCATGAAAGACCATATGCCCAGATTGAACTCGTTCATCCTCGACAAAGGGATGGTGGGAATTCCTGGTAGTGACTTTCCGATCCGGCCTTACAACTATACATATGAAGGCCCAAATATCGGGGACGTACTCGGGAAACTGAGATTTGGTGAACGTGAAGTGTATCTTCAGTAGTTCTACTGGTGCTGGAGGTGAGATGAGCATATTAGTCTCCCAATATGCTCGTATAATGTATGGTATATGTGTTAGGAATAGTCATGTTGCAGCGAAATTATACACCACTGTCATGAGAAAGCTAATGAATAGTAATATAACTTATTCAGAAGGATCGGCTTCTGTTCTTCAAAGTAATTGTGAGGCTGAAGATAACTAGATAGTGTGAATGAAGCAGTAACAGCCAATCTAAGACACTCGGTGGCCACCGACATACACCTCTTGCCTCAATATCCCATCTGATAGTGGTACAGAAAACTTAATGTATGCAATGGTAACGGCACATGTCCTGCATAGGAGACTGCTGAGATTGTTGGTAATAGTAATAATAACCAGGACCTTCCTGATACTGAGATGCTGGGGCTTTAGAGAAAGATAAAGATATACTTCTCTCTGTTGATAATAATGCTAGCTCTTTGCGGAAGTATGATACCATTTGTATCACGGTAATAACAGCCTTACATGTGGTCCTTCTTTCTATGGCTTAGCTGCTGTCTTTGATCTATATAAAGTACCCTCACCATCTTCCGTCATTTTTTTTAATTGATTATTCTCCTCTAAAAACCCCCGGGACTCCAGCTTATTATATTCCTTTGTTTTAATTTCGAAGGCTGTTAAGTCTCAAAGTCTTTTGCATCAATTATCATCGGTAATCTCACTTTTGTCTTCTATGAACAACTCCCAGGTTTATACATGAGCAAATAAACGATGCCAGCCCGTTTGTAACGCCATATTATATTACTCCACCCCTAAAAGACCAAGATCTTAACCTTCTTCTCTGCTGCGCCGTACCGCTCCCGGAACTCTGGCCGTGTGAGAAGCTGCAACAACGGGAGATGCGTCTCCTTCATGTCGAAGATGCCCCGTTGCTTCTGATCCACGTAGGATCCGTCGATGACGATGCGCTCCAGTTCACCCAGTTTCAGGGAGCCTGTAACAATTAGACGTGCTTCAGGATATTCATAGTTGGGCTGCAACATACCTGCTTCAATAAGGTCCGAGATACGAGCAGGGGTACCGGCTCCAATGCCCGTGCTATTCATCATTAGCGATGGTCATGGATCATTTAGGTAATACATACCGTGCGCGCTCCAGGAACTGCTTAGCCTCCTCCAGCTTGATGTGCTTGGCGAACAACTTTCCGACAATAGCCTCTTTAGTCTGGAACGAACGGAGAGCACTTCAGAAATGTTAGCACCGCATATCATTTCTCACTATCAGTCTCCATGACTTACCGAACAACGTCGGCAGCTCTGAGCGCAGCGCCAGAAATAACCAGAGTGTGCGGGGTACCCTTCTCCTCCGATGCCTTCGCAAGGTCAGCCCCCTTATTCGGGCTGGACGCCTTCAGGAACGCAGGAAGCTGCTCCAGAGATCGGGTCTGTTCGAACGACGACGTATCCAGGAACGCGGAATCTATCCCCATCAGTACTCCAATCTTCAATATCAAAAAAACCCAACTTACCCGGCACAGACAGATCATTAAGTTCAACCGCACTCAGCTCCTTGTTATGGCGTTTGGCCTTCTGCAGGAAGTGATCGGCCAACAGCCGGCCGTCCATCTTTCCAATCGCTTCATCGATGCCACCCTTTGTCTCCGTCACCTTGGTGTCGGCAGGCTCCTTCTTAGCGGGCTTCTCACCCGACTTGCCCTTGTCGTCCTTCTTTCCCTTGCCCTTACCCTTGCCTTTCCGGTCATTGAAGTTCTTGCCGCCCTTGTGCTTCTTGTTCGGGCCTTCGCTGGTGCTGCCAGTCGGCTTTGCGTCGTTCGGCTTGGAGTCTTCGGCCTGGCGCTTGCGCTTCTTGTCCACCTTGGCGGCGAGGGCGGACGGCTTGGGAGTTCCGTCAGACATGATTTGCGATCGCTGGACAGTATGTTAGAGGTACAACCGAGTCGTATTCTTCAATGGCACAGGATTAGCTGTGACAAGCGTATGATGTCGCTGGCCGTGCAACTTTTTCTCTCCTTATCGATAAGAAGCAGCATCAATCAGTGGGTCTAACTGGGATTCGTTGACCGCCTTCCCTTCTGTCCGCTGCTGCTCTTCTCCGAGACGCGCTCCAGTTATCACTACAGCCATATAACCCCTCTTCATCTATCGCCGATTTTGGCTTCTATTGTCATGAACGGCTGGCATTATTACTGAGCGTCGATAATTGCTACACTATAATCTATTTAATGCGATAAGTTCGCATCCCCGCTAGCCAATGGCGACCACACCCAAGCCGCGTCGCCGGTCACCCCGAGTGTCTGATGGCTCGGAAGCATTGACTCCAGTAGGAGACACCACACTCACAGGGGTAAGCTGCTTTCTTTGCATATTATCATCTTGTACCTACTGACCAGATCCAGTTGCAACGTCTCCCAGTTCACACAAAATACCCCCTCACTCCCAGCCGATTCGCATCCACCACCCCCTCCGCGAACCGATACACCCCGCGAAACAGGGGCGCCGGCGCGCCATCCACGCCGTATCGAGTGCAGGCGCTGCAGCGACGCGCCGCGAACACGCCCGGACGCGATCGTAGACGAAGCGGGCGGATCCAGCGCGAGACGACATTCGATATCCTCCGCAACCTGGGGAAAGCCCTTGCCCCGACGACCCAGCCTATACAATCTTCGCCGCAGGAGCAAGTAGAGTCTTCCCCAGAGCCAGAACCGGAGAGAGATGAAATCGAAGAGTTGGATAATGAGCCCGAAATTGAGCGCCCTCGTTTGTCGCTGCCGCTCGATGAGGTGGAGGAGGTAGATGAGGAGCCGGAGATGCACCCACCCCGGCTGTCGTTGGCGTTTGAGGAGGAAGATATTACGGTTGAGTATCCTCGACGGGCTACGAGTGAGCATGATCGGAATAGATTGTCGATGATGAGCGTGGGCGGTCCTCGCATGAGTGAGATTGGGGCGGCGACTGGATTAGAGAGTGAGAGTGAAGATGATACGGGGATTGTACACGGTGATGATGGAGGTGAAGATACGGTTCTCACACAAGGGGACTTTGATGGAGGGTGAGTTCTATGCACAGTTGGGGAGATCCATCGCTAACCTATATAAAGAGGTGAAACGGAAGATCTTGGACGGTTCAACTTCGAGTTTAATTTCCCGTCGCCGCCTGCTCCTGGCGCAGAACTGGACCAGGATGACCCCATCCATGACGATGAAGGGTTTGAGCTCTCAATGGACATGCCAATGGACACTGGGGCAGGGTCTGACGATGCCGACAGCGTGTCCATCGCTGCTGGCGACTTTGGCATGGAACTGCAATCGCCGCCACCCGCTCCGGTGGCACTGAGTGAGAGCCAAAGTCCAGGTATTGCCGGAGGAGGGTTGCGGGACGAGGACCGCTACGTCTCCGGCGCGAAACAGAAGAAGCTCTCCCGACATGGCATTCCCGTGCCCAACCTTCCCGTCGGGGTCGTGAAGAAGCTGGCCACCCGGTTTGCGCGGGCGCGGAACGGGTCAAAAGCCAAGATCAGCAAGGAGACACTGGCTGCGATTGAGCAGGCTTCGTCGTGGTACTTCGAGCAGGCGAGTGAGGATCTGGCTGCGTATTCCAAGCACGCGGGGCGCAAGACCATCGACGAAAGCGATGTGGCAACCTTGATGCGGCGGTAAGTTCAGTCGTCCTGCCAATCTTCTACAGGGATACTAATTCAGTAGGCAACGGCATGTTAACCAGTCGACCACGATCTTCTCGCTGGCGCAAAAGCATCTGCCCAAGGAGCTGTTGCAAGATATGAGATTGGCAATGCCACCATGATGATACAGTATATATTCCTAAAGCTACAAGTCCAAACGCCGTCCAGCATGCGGGGACACGAGCCACTACCAGTTGCGGTTATGGCGCACACGCCGAGTAGCCTCGTTGGGACGCTTGCGGATGATCATCCACAGCATGATGGAGGTTGCCAGCGACAAGCCGTACCTGCAGCCGTCAGCCAGGGTTCTATACCGCGTCCGGGGAGGAAAGGGGAAATGCAACATACCAAGTAAAGATATACTGGCTGTGGTTGTTCTTGAGGTTGACTTCAGCAGCACGGCCAATAGGGATACCCTTGGCCTCGCGATCCATCGCCTCGACCATATCGGGGACTGATCCACCATCATAGATTAGCTTCATCATCCAATACCCAAACCAATGAAATAAAAGAAGGAGGAATAACATACCCATAGTCTCCTCAATCCAAACAGGCTGACTCCCCGTCAACTCCGCCATCTGCTCAATATCAGGGAAATAAAACTTCCCCTCAGCAGGCACATTATCCGGCGTAAACATATTCTTCTTCCACGGCTCCCTCAACAATCCCTCCACCACGACCTCTCCCTCCGGCAATGCCCTCCCCTCCCCTTGCCTCAACCTATCCCTCTTCTCCTTCATCTTCCGACTAATCCACCCCCGATTCACCAACACCGTACTCCCACCCTCGCGCTCCAGCGGCGTCACCACAAAGAACCCATCCTGGCCCTCTCGCATGCGCGGACCCACCAACATCTCCTGATCATGTCGGAGCGTGCCCGTCGCGACGACCCGGCGGTAATCGAACTCGGAGATCGCGGACGGGTCGATCCGCGGGGGTAGAGGCAGTGGGGGCTTGATTAGTCGGTCTTCGAATTTGGCAATTAGGTTGGTCTTCCACTCTAGACGTTGAATTTGCCATGTTCCGAGAGCGAAGGAGATTATGGGGATTAGTGCTGTATTTCATCATTGTATGTTAGTCTATGGTTATGAGGTTGGAATGGATGGGGTTGTCGCGCACCGAGAATGATCAGTCCCGGACCATGTTTCCGGCCTGTGCGGACAACTTGCGAGGGGGCGTCGACAACGGAGAGCCAGCGCTGGTCGTCATTGAATTGGTTGTTGTTGTAGAAGCGGAGCTGGGTGGTGTTGTTCGTGCGGCGGAGGCAGCGCGTGCAGAGGGAGTCTGGTCCTGCTGCTGCTGTTCCTGTTCTGTTGAGGGCGGTGCGCAGAATTGAGGATGCGGGGCGTAGGGGGGTGGTTCTTGTGCCCGTCCGGGAGAGGACGGAGAGGAGGGAGCGCATTTTGCGCGCTGTTGTGTGTGGTTTCTGGTGTGATTGATTGAGATGGAGGCAGTTGGGGAATGAAAGTGCCAGTGGAAGATTAAGAGAGAGCGGGTCGGGACGGGGTCTTTTCCGCCGATGCGGATTGTCGGCTTATCGATTGCGGGTGTCAGTCGGTAGCTCCGTAACCACTAGCTTCATTGTCACTTGTCTACTTCACATACTCGGGAAGCAAGACGCAAGATGTTCTACTCTGGGAGCTTACAGGAGGGTATCGCTGCGGCAGTCGCTGAGAGCAAGGCTGTCGTTTGCTTCGTTAGAGGTTTGTTTTTTTCTACAGGCATTGAAGAGAGGGATGCTGGAGCTCGGCGATACTCCGCAGTACTGACACGGCTACTTAGATGATGAGCAGACGAGCACAGAATGGGAGGAGAGCTACTTTACGTTTGATGAGGAGGTATTCAAGACATTGTATACATATGTTCCTGCATCTGCTAACGCTGCGCAGTTATCGCAACTACTCCAATCGAGAGCTGTCCTCTTGCGCTTCACCAAAGGTAGTCAGGAAGCGGGCTTTCTGGCCTCTTTTTGTCCCATCGTCAAGTTTCCTACCGTCGTCGTGATAAAGTACGTGCTCTACTACTTGGGTTAGGGAAGTTGTTGACCGTCGCAGGAATGGTATGATGTGCGATTACCTCGTGCCGGACATTTCCAAGGAGGACTTTCGCGATCGCCTACTTGTGAAGCTGGATGAGAGTCGCGCACCGGTTCAGCAGGATGTAGGGAGTGCAGGTGCTGCTGGGGGTGAGACGACGTCTGCACCGGTGGCTTCTGATGCTCCTGCGACTGTGTCTCCTCCTGCGCCGGAACCTGTGTCTTCTGCGCCTGTACCGGCACCAGCGCCTGTCGCAGAGCCAACTCCTACACCAGCTCCATCTCAGCCTGCACCCCAGCCCTCGACAACTGAGCCAGAGCAACCCCGCGATGCAGCTATTCGTGAAGGAAAGAGACGAGTAGACGATGCGCGAGCCGAGCAACAACGTCCGTCCCCGACCAAGAAACTCCAACAACAGAAGAAGCAAGAACCAGCACCTAAGCCGACTCCCCGACCAGTCACACAAGAGAGCAAGCCCAAATCTAAGCCCACCCCCGAAGAGAAGCCATCCTCCGTCACCCCCAAAGAGTCCGCCACCCAACCCGCTGAACGGCGCCCACCCTCCCCTCCGAAGCAATACCGTCTCCAAGTGCGTCTCTTCGACGGCAGCTCCGTGCGCTCCAGCTTCACTCCCACCCAGACTATCCGCAACGACGTTCGTCCCTGGCTTGATGGTCAGATGGAAGAGCGCAGCCCCTACAACCTCAAACACATCCTGACGCCTCTCCCGAATCGCACCCTCACCATTGCCGACGAGGAGCAAACTCTAGCCGAGCTGGGACTCGGCAGCTCCGCCAACCTGGTCATGGTTCCGATCCAGTCCTACACGGAGGCATATTCCGGCGCGGGTGCGAGTCTGCCAGTCCGAGCGGTGTCGTCTGCCTACGGACTGGTGTCGTCGGCGGTTGGTACTGCGACAGGGCTTGTGGGATCGTTCTTTGGGTATGGAACGACGCAGTCGTCGGGCAGTGAGACTACGCCGGCTGCTAGCACGGCTTCGTCGGGGTCGAATGATGCGGGGCGTAGACGGGTGAATGCATCCAGGGGACCGATCATTCGGACGTTGAGGGATGCGCAGAATGAGGGGGATGATCGGCAGTTTTATAATGGGAATCAGGTGAGTACTGATGTTAAAGATGGGTGTTCATATGCTAACGGTTGTATATAGTTGAACTTTCAGCCTCGAAATGATGGAGACAGACGATAGTGAGCCATGTTCTAGTGCAATATACTGAAGTTCCTGCCATGTATGTATCAAACTCCTACTACTTCCTTTGCTTGCAGCGAAGCATGTATGTACCTCTATGAGAATGATATAAGCCTATATATTATCATTTATCATCTACAAATCTAAGCACCATAACCAAAGGAATGGAAACAGAAACACATGAAGAGTGGAATGATCCTTTTTTATCTATATTTTCAATTAGTTCCTGTCCATGCATGCATGCCCATCACAGACATAGCCAACCCATAAAAAAAAAGGGTAGTAAGCTTCCAAAGTGGTATATGTTATACAAGGGGGTAATAGATAATAAAATAAAATAAGAGGGAAATAACGGGCTAATCCACCACTATGCCATATATTGCCCATCCATCCATAAGAAAATCATTCATCTCATCCACCATCATCAATCACCTTCGATACTCAGTCTCCAATTAGTACGGCTTAGCAGCAGCCTGGCAAGCCTTCTATAAACACAATACCCATTAGCATATGCCCACCATCACCCAACACTTCCCCCCACCCAGAAAGGAAAAAGGCAATAGATCTTACCAGCTGGTCCAAGTACCATCCACAGATCGTCAAATCACCCTTGTTCTCATCCATGCACTTGCGGAAGTTCTGCGCATCCGTGGCACAAGCCGGCGCCTCCCAAGAGCTGTTGGTAGCGTTTCCAGCCCAGAGACCGTTGTCCATGGGCTGAGCGGGAGCCGGCGCAGCCTGCTGGGGAGCCTCAGCGGGAGCACTGGAGCCGCCACCACCGCCGAAGAACATTCCGCCGATGGCGTGGCCGATGGAGGAGCCGACGGCGACACCACTATTTATATACATTGGTTAGCTTTTGGGTTCCTGGATGGGTGGGTGTTTTCAGGGTATGGGATGTATGTGTGGCAACGTACGCAGCAGTCGAGGCCATCTGGCCGAAGAGACCGGGGCCCTGGCTTTGCTGGACGGGAGCAGCGGCGGGAGTGGCAGCGGGGGCAGCAGCTGGAGGGGCAGCGTGGTGCTGCTGCTGGGGGTGAGCAGCAGTGGAGTGAGGCTGTTGCTGGCCGTAAGAAGGGGCGGCAGCAGGTCTGGCGGGAGCAGCGGTAGGGCGGGTGGGAGCGCTGCGCGCGGGAGTAGGGGCGGCACCACGGCGTTGACGAGGCATTTTGTGTGTTGTTTTTTGTGGTTGTGAGGAGGGTGGTTAAAGGAGAAGGTGTAGGTCTGGATGTTGTATGTGAGTTAAAGTGTTGGGAAGCGGGTGGAGAGAGTTGTTTTATAGTCGGAAAAGAAGAAGCTCGAAAGTCGGGCGGAGAAAGTTCGAAAACTCCGATCGCCCTGGTTATTCTCCCGTTCCTGATTGGTTGCTTCGGGCGTTAGGTCAGCTGCCGGTCCCGGCGCTTACGATTGATCGTTGCTTTAATGCCGAGGATGGATGGGTTTGGAATGGAAATTGAGGGATATATCATGGATTACTATCATTTTGATTCCATTTTAGGCGGCTGTTATTGAGACTTGATAAAATTCCTGTTGGACTCTATATCTAACCTGAATAGATTAGCAGCGGTCCATGTTACTATAGTACTAGATGATCCATAATAGTTTGTAACACATGATCAAAAAAATATATATATATACAGTATAGTATATTTTTTCAATTATTCATAAAATAGTAGTCTGTATCTAATAGTCACTGTGCCATAACCTCGCCAGATAGGGGATAAGCCGCTTTGCATATAGCCTAATGATTCTGCTTGGCCCGCTTATACTAATTCTTCCATTTTCACAACTAGAATTTAAAGGGCCTGTGAGATTGACGCGAAAAATGACCGCTTTGGGGGCCAGAAACGGCCGCCTTTCCAACCGTGACATGAGAGTCCACACCCAAATAATTACTCGTTAGCCTATCTAGCCCGCGGTAGATCAAATATGGATGGTGGGAGTGGCGAAGGCGGACGCTGCGCCTTTGCCAATCTGTCTGCAGTCATCCAAGGATCTTCCTTTTCCACAACCAAGTGCTGGATAGTGATCCGCGTGGACAAAGTCCGCAGCCAATCCACAATATGGCCTAAAAGATCATACTGCGTTTGAGCTCGTTCAGCGAAGTCGCGGTACCACTCCTCGCGAGCCCCTTCCTTTTCGCACTCGAAGATGGAGATAAATTGAACAGGCAGTGGCTGCTCTTGCTCGCTCTGCTGTGGTGGAGACTTATAGTCATAGTCACTGAGCCATCCTTGGCACCGGGGCATGAAAGCAGACCAAGGACTGTGGAGACTTCCGACGACCTGCGTTTGACGGGTGGTTCTATTCAGTCAAGATTGGCATGTTATGTTAGTAATCGAAATTTGCCCAAGAGATGGGAATATTTGTAAAAGAAACTTGTAACGTACGCTTGGTAATTGGAGAAGGCGTATCCGAATGAGCATTGGTCCGTTTCGTTCGGAGAGACGTCGAAAACGACCATGTCCATGGAGTGAGGGACACTTGGAAAGGGAAATAAACTGGGAGTTCGGCGGTGGGATAGGTCCTGGATTGCATCCCCGCATGCATCCTTGAATTCCCGGATGCACTGTTGGAGTTGCGCTCGGACTTCTGCTTCTGCTTCTGCTTCGGGCTTCTGGTGTTTAGGGTGTTCAGAATGTTCAAGAGCTTGCAGTAGGACAAATCGTGTTAGGGAACTATTTAGAAGGCTGCATCTTTTTGCTGAATACGTCTCGAGACCTGACATACCTATGAACAATGAGAATGAGATCAGGTTACCCTCTCCCTCTCCCTTATTCTCTTGACATTTCCCCCAGAAAATGCGGGGACAGTCCCCCATCCCCCAGAGTTTTCGACGGAGATCCTCGAATGCACCACCCGCTTCCACTGCCGGATGCCCGCGCTGAGCGCGAAAGGAAATCCAGTCCATTGTGGGTCTCCCGCTGTACTCAAGTGACTGGGGCAGATGGTGTTGGGAGATTTTCCCCATGGGGTACCAAGTACCAGCGGGGCCACCGGCAATGCGCTGAGGGGGGGTTTGTCTCGCCTGGCGCATGGATTCCAGATGGCGTTGATCCTGGCCTTGCGAGAATGTTTGTTCATCGATATTGTATTCGCGCTTCACGTGTGACTGAAATACTGGGTGGTTGGAGTTAAACTGCCCATTCACAGAGACCGGGGAAGGGGAGGCGGTTGAGAGGCCTAGCGTTTCTATAGATGCTCCGGAAGACACGTTGACTTGGTTGAGCTGGCGCGTGTAAACTGAGACTACCTCCGCCGTATGTTCCACGAGGTGTGCGATTCGGATCCTTAGATTGTGGTCATTGGCCTGTCGCCGGTGCCGGTGCCCGTCTTGGGAATCTGGTTTCCAGAAGAGCAGCCCGACAAAATACCGGTCTTCAGAAGCCTGATCTGCCTCAAGCCATTCCCCGCAACAATATAGCAAGTCCGACTCGACATTGGCAGAAGTATTGTTCAAAAAGGGAGCGAAATCCGTTTCCCACTTGGATTTGAAACCGGGCTTTTGGTTATACTCATCCTCATCGGAGAACCCGAACCGGAAAGACACCAGCTCCAGGAGACTGTCCGATATGGGAAGATTAACAGGAAGGACAGACTGAATGCAACGGTTGGAAATGCTTTCGATATAACCGAGCATCATGCTGAAGCCCAGAGACGATTGGAAGCATTTCCAGCCATGACCGCTGTCCCACTGGATTAGAACGATGATCTGTTGATGCGGCGAGGTGTGGTCGACTGGGGCCCAGTACATCCCTTGAAACCCAGGGACTGTTGAGACAAACTTCAGCGACTTTTGCCATAGTACGTGTGCCCGCTGCGATGGCTCTGCGACGTTGACGCCCCGGCGATATGTGAACTGCAGAATACTGAGGACTGGATCCGCGGGCAGATGGTCGGCTAAGGCTTCTCTCGAATTGTAAGCGATGTTTTTGAGGCGGGGCGTGATAGCAACATAAGTGTTGAACATGTTGAGGTTGAAAATTGACTCACGTGGAAACTGCTATCTATAAACCAATTAATGGTTTTGGTTGAGATATCCTGATTCCGACTGTTGTAAATGGGGAAGGGTGAATTAGTTACATTACTTACGGGGCCGGCGTAGTCTGTACACTGTACAGACCACCTCACAGAAGTGAAACTTACCTTACCGTTCAGTTATTTTGACCCACTGCTGACTTTGATCTGGCAGGGCAGACAAACCCTTCCTTTCAAAGGCTATTGGGTGGTTCGACTAGGAGTCTGGGTAACTTTGATCTGGCGGGGCTGATAAACTAAGGCTATTGGGTGGATCGACTATGCCAGCAAACTAAAGGTCTGGGCAGCTGTTATTGAGACTCGACAAACCTCCCAAAGTATCTGAATTACTTAAGGACAATAAGAAATTAAAATAGATATTGTTCTATTTTCCTATTTAGAGTATGGATCCTTGTCTGAAGAGTACTATTTCTAATCAGGGGCTATTAACCCTGTTACTAGGCTAACGGTAGAGTCCAACGGGAGTTTTGTTGAGTCTCAATAATAATTGCCTACAGATAACTGCTAGCCTAGGTACCTAAACTGATTAGGCATTCCGCCCTCTACAGGTCTTGAGTCATATACGGTAATTGATGCTATCTCTGTGCTGTAATTTTGATTTACTAAGATTACATGGGCATGGACCTACTAAGGATGGTGAGCAAGTGTTGTTGATGGTAGAAAGGACTATGCTGCGAGTCATTCGCTCACAAAATACCTCCATTGATCAAGTGAGCTACAAGTATCCAACAAGCCGACAGGCATGAGCACGAGAGCTAATTTTTTGGTATTTGGGATAGTCAAGCCCACTTTGAAGATCCCGAGCCCAGACAGCGCCCTTAGTCAATCGTCAACTTGGACATCATGCTCGCAAGACCATCATCGTAGGCAGGAGTTGTATCCTGGGGAATGGGATTGGAGAACCCAGTCGACCAATCGCTCGTTGACAAGTACATGGCTGCCGAATCCAATATTAGCTAGAGCTCAAGGGAGAAGAAGAATGAGCCTAGGGTTAGCTGAGCAAGCAACTCACCGCTGATATAGAACGAAAATGAATCTGGCCAAGCAAGATGCATACGATTAGCACAATTATCTATTCAATGCGAAGCTTGGACTAGGCAGATGGAGAGCATCGGACAGTTCATACCTGCATTGTTCATGGCAGTGCTCGGTGTTGCCGCAAGCTGTCGAATGCAGTCCCAACCATAGGCGCTTTGTTTGATGCCATCGATTTCACATTTCTCATCGACTGTTTACATGGTTTGGCAAAGCAATTAGCGGGCAGGAATTTCGAATTATGAGAGCTGCAAGAGGTGACAGCGGGGGGTTGACAATGACATACTCAGGTAATTGGCGCCCACAATAGCCGGGGCATGCGTGAACTCGTGCATCAAAGCCGTGCTCATTGTTAGGCCCTGGAATTGATTGATATGGACCGAATTGGCCGCGTAGTTCTGCTGGGAAGCGGCAGTCATCGTGTCGCTGGACTGATGCCTCGACACCCATTGAGAAACATAATCCTGGCACAGGGTCATCACGGTCGTCTGTCCACTGGAGGTCTGGCTGGAAGACATGTAAGGGTCCACCCATGCATAGTGGCTCGCTTTGTCTCGGCAGATTCCGTTTGCCACTGCGAAATCCATTGCACGGGGCCCTGTCCGTGTATCTCGATTGTCCCAGTAAAGGTAGGGATTGATCACTGTAAAAGCGACCGAGCAATCAGTCAGTCAGTCTTTTGAGTCTTTCATGGTGAAGATTGAGCCGGGAAGCTTAGGGTTCTCACGACTGATATCTCCTTCGGGATCCTCTTCCACGAGCCAGAAGTCACTGCAGTATATTTCCATGTGCTCATTGGAGCCGATAGTCCGCAGAGAAGACTGCATAGTCTTAGCAATGCCTATGCAAGGGTCAGTTAGGGACAATTGACCTTCCAGATTTTTCCAAACAGGGCATACTCAAAACTTGTTCTACTCTGGCGATTGCTGCGTCATTTTGGCCATCTCCTGCGCCGTATTCCAGCTGACCGAAGATTGCCTCGAAGGTATAGAAGGTGGACTGCAGCAATTGTCCCTGGCCGCTGATGTGGTTTGGGGGATCCGCGAGGAAGACTTGGAGGCTGTTTGTGCGGTCAATGGCGGTCGTCAACTGGGAAGAGGATCATGGTCAATATCGATTTTCAAGATTGGATATGGGCGAGACAGAGGACCATTTCTATCATTTCACCGATTGAATATGTCAGGGTCGCAGTTGCAGAACTGTCACAGAAGTAGGTTGTCGTTCTTTTGTTGAGGGAAGCATGGGGTTGGCCCCTGGGCGCAGCAACCACCAGTCCAGTGCTGATTGTCGCTACAGCCCAGAAGGCTTGGAAGAAAGCAGAGAGACGCATTGCTTGAAGCAAAGATCGGTTGCAGGGGTGTGGTTATCCAGGGCTTGATTGCCGAGCAGGAAAAAAGGGCGCATCTTATACGTTGAATGGATTGGTGTTCCTGGTCATATAGACTACCAGACTAGAGTCTCCGGACATTTATTACTACAGTCACAGTAGTTCCTGTGGTAATACCTATTACCACTAAAACCTTGCTCCGAATAGCTCAATTCGGTGTTCACCGGAGACTGTAACTAACTACTAATCGACTGGATCCGTGGGGTTGAAGCATCTGTCGACTGCGGTAATATTATAAGGGTCCTGTAATGTGGTTCATCTTTGCCCTAATGCAGGATGGAAATGAGGTGGTCCACTTCTTCCCATAACCTCCGGACATTGATTACTCCATCAATGGTAGTTCCTGTGATAATACCTATTACCACTAAAACCTCGCTCTGAATAGATCATTTCGGTGTTCGCCGGAGACTGTAACTAACTACTTATTGACTGGATCCACTGGGTTGAAGCATCTGTCGACTGCGGAAATATTATAAGGGTCCCGTAGCGTGGTTCGTCTTTGCCCTAATGCAGGGTGAAAATGAGGCGATCCACTTCTTCCCATAATCATCCTGGAGTTCCTGGAGCACAACTTCTCGGGGGCCACTTTTTCGGCCTCGTGTAGGCTTAGCGGTCCGATACTGTTGGGCTTGTAATGGCTTGTGCAAAAATTTAGCGGGCCAAGAGGATTGCGTATGGGAAAGGTGACCGAGCGATCCAATCGATCAATGATCAATTCAAATTAACCACGGGCAGAGCGTGTTGGTCTCCAGCCTGTCGAAGACTAGCGTCTCGTCTCCTTACTTATATCTTCCTGTCATCCCTTCCCGACGAGAATCATTGCATGATCCAGTTCTACCAATGTGGGCTCATCGGAAGCTGAAAACAGCTCTGCAGCTGTTGCTGCTTCTTCCTGGAATTCAAGCAGCGGACGGCACTTGCTCAGAGGACAACCCTTGTACCGAGGGTTGCTGCTCAAGCGTTTCCCAAGTTTGTGGATATGGCCCAGATTACTGTGGAAGTACTTGTGTCGCGGCGGCCAGCACCAACGGCACTTGTACACATCTGGCCGAGTGCAACCCTGGAGGCTATCCAGGATGGGGAGAGAGTTGGGGTATCTGACATTCCAACCCTGGTAGCCCAATAAACCTCGTTTGCTGATCACCATCGAACCAGCTTCCAACTATTCAGCCTCTCAGTCATGCCCTTTGAATGTCTGCTGCAGTCAATACGGTTTCTGTAAGATCCAAAACAGACGGAAACATAAGGACTCCCTCGTTTGACGTGAATTGATTAGGTGGCACATCGTCCGATTTCTGTGGAGATATCACTTGGACCTCCCCTTCATGCTCAGGTTCTTCGTCCGTCACGAGGCGAATTGGCTACTATGAGGCATTTAACCTCGATCATTCCTGCAATAGTACCGCCCCTTCAAGACGGTTTACATGTCCATGTGCTAACTCCTTTTCAGCGATGACCCCAGAAGAGGTATTGTCAGTCTGCACGGAACAGGCCATTCTGTTGCTAACCGTGCTTCTAGATTCCTGTGGGAGGATACACTCATTTGATCTTCTCCTTCTTATACATCAACCCGGATACGTATGAGTTGGCGCCGATGGAATCCAACCAAACAGATCTCTACGCTCGATTCACTGCCCTCAAGAAGTACGGCATCGAAGCTTGGATCTCCATTGGTGGATGGGCTATGAACGATCCTGGAGCATATGAAAACGTCTTTTCTACTCTCGCTGCATCGACGACGGCTCAGCAGGCGTTTCTCGACTCTCTCGTTGCCTTCCTGGACCAGTATGGCTTCGATGGCGTTGACATTGATTGGTAACTATACCTTTCAGAGCTACTGGCTCTTTCTGTGCTGATGGCACCGTTTGCTGAGATCTCTCTAGGGAATACCCCGGTGCGTCGGATCGGTTTGGCACCGAAGCCGACTACGCAAACTTCGTCTCGTTCCTTCAAAATGTACGATCTGCCTTGGGAAGCTCCTATGGACTGTCAATTACTCTACCAAGCTCCTACTGGTACCTGCAGTACTTCGACATTGCAAAGATTGCGGGGACTATCGACTGGGTACGTTCGCGATTTTCGAACTTCCACCACCTGTTTTTAAACTGAGTCTGACTGGATACAGTTCAACTTCATGTCTTACGATATCTATGGCACCTGGGACGCTAAAATTGATTCCATCGGAAGTTATGTCTATGCTAGTACCAACCTGACCATGATTGAATCAGGGCTGCAGTTACTGTGGCACAACAATATCTCGTCGAGTCAAGTGAACCTTGGCCTTGGCTATTATGGTCGCAGTATGCATCACCGCTCCCCTGATGACGTGAAGTTTGTATCTTATCATTCGCAGGCTACACACTGGAGGATCCGTCGTGCGTGGAGCCTGGCTGTGCTTTCACCGTCGGTGGTACGTCCTTGTCATCATTCCCACATTGCTAAAGATTCAATCTCACAATAGCCTAGGCAATCCGGGACCATGCACGCAGACCGAAGGCATGCTTTCATACGATGAGATCATGGATATCATCGATGATCCGTCCAGAAATCCAACGGTGTGGCTCGACTCGGCCGCGGCTGTCAAAATCGCGGTCTATGATGATAACCAATGGGTTGCGTATGATGACGCCGAAACGATTCAGATGAAATTGGACTTTGCCAACGCAGAGTGCATGGGAGGGTAAGTTCACAGTGCACAAATCCAAGTCTTTCTTCCAGTTCTCTTTCTGACACCATTGCTTCTGTAGCGTTTTTGCATGGGCTGTTGACGAGGACAGCACTGGCGATCTTTCTGGTACGATGGCTCGAAGTCCTCGCATTGCAGAACCGTGAACCACTGACCCTGAGGCTGCAGAATCCATCTCCAATGCTACCGACCTCTTCCCTGCGGGTGGAAGCGGAAAGCTGTATGTTTCATCCAACATTTGGGATGAGGATGCTCCCGAGATTTCCTGCGAGGCTCCCTGCACTTTCGTCCTGCCACTCTTCCCATTGCCGACTTCGACGACGATAAGCTGGCCGCCGCTTACCACATCTCTGCTGGTCAGCACCAACGGAGGGCTCTCTACCACCACAACGACTATCTCGGTTCCTGAATTCGAAGTGACCGCGATCCCTTTCTGGCCATTGACCATCGCTAGCAATCAAACCAGCGGTTTCCTGAGCCCTGTTCAAAGCATTACACCGCCATCTCTGGTCCTTGAGCTTCCAGGAAGCGTCACTCCGTTTCCCCAGTCCACCGTCAACTATACTGATGTTGCCGAGAGCCAGGTGGCAGGCGAAACGATTGCGCCAGTAGCTACGGGTACAATTACATCTCCGGCCACTACGACTGCCGGTCCCACTTCGACCACGTCCACGGTAGTGACCCCGTCGCCCATTGCAGCCAACATGGCAAGTGGCTGCACGGAATTCTACCAAGTTCAAAGTGGGGACTCCTGCTGGAGCATTGAAACGAACAATAACATCGCTGCTTCGGACTTTGAGGCTTGGAACCCGGACATCGGCACCGATTGTGCCAACGGTGTCTGGCTCAACTACTATTATTGTATCGGTCACGGTGACTCTTCATCGACTCCGTCAGGATCAGACGGCAGTGGTCAGTCGACCTCTACTGGAACCACTGTCGTCCCGGTCTTCTACAGCACGTCACACTCGGTGACTATCCAGCCTCAAGCGACACATACCACCGTGGACCCTTCAAGTACCATCCCTCCCATAAACGTCGTTATTGGACCGCCGTCGAGCTCTTCCTCTTCCTCTAATGGAGATTGTGACGGCTGCGGAACATTGGACTGTGGGCTCTTCGGCTGCGATGGCAAGTGTGGCCTGTTCGGTTGTGATGGGGGCTGTGGTCTCTGGTGGTGTGGAGGAGGCTGCGGGTTACACTATTGTGGACCCGGTTGCGGTACTGGTAAGAGGCTCAACATTGCGCAAGTCACATGCATCACGTTCGTTTCGTTTCTAACGTAGCAATTTGTACAAAGGTTCCTGCGTCGTAGAAGGCGGCGGCGGTGGCGGCGGGAGCACTGGTTTCATTGGACCCGGTGATACGACAAATGACGATTGCAGCTCCATGAAGACGGCCGATGTCTGCACTGTGTTTGTGAAGAGCTTCTCGACATCGGGGATGGCTTCTTCATCTACTACGAGCACGGTAAGTTGTCCTGTCTTCCTTCAAACTCATTCTTTGTACGCTAATGTAATACTCGCACGGCTGCTGTAGACTGAATGTGCTCCTACTGAAGGATGCTCGGTCACTCCATCCACAACAACAACCATAATCAGTACAACCGGGACTTACTCGACACTCACCAATAGCTTCGTGTATACCTCGCAGACATCAGAGGCGCAATCTGTGCTAGAGTCCATTTCCGCCAGCATCGTCAGCCAGCGGAGTGTCTGGGATGCCACGCGTTGGGCCGGCTATACGATCACAATCACTCCGCCAACGACGACAACAACAACTAGCACCCAGCATAGTTCATCCAAAAGTACAACGACCAGCGCCAGCGACTCTACCACCAGCACCAGCACCAGCACCAGCACCAGCACCAGCACCAGCACCAGCGTATCACACGGAACCCCAACCGCCACCTCCATCTCCGCCACGCCAACAACGTTCCACTCCCCCTCCAACAAGCTCCACATTGAAATGAACTTTTACAAAGATGACTCCTGCGGCGAACTTATAGCCGGCTACGAATGGGATGATGATCCGTTGGAGAGCTCGGGGTACTGTACAGAATGGGGCCTCGAAGAGTACGACGGCGGCAAAATGGTCGCCTCCTCCATCTACCCTGTCTTCAGCGAGTCGGACTGGAACCTTGGGATCATGTCTCTTTGGGACGAGTGCAAGGCTAACAATTTGGGCCAGCAGCTCAAATCCAGCACGTGTTACAAGCTTGACTATAATCCTGATGGAGACGATTCCGAGGCTCGTGGCACGTGGATTATTTTTAGTGGCGATGTTGCCTACGGGCCTGGCAGTTGAAAAGAAAAGAAAGGAAAAAGTATGTGGACTGGACTTTGAACAGTGATTCTGCCATGCCCTACAATTTGCAGTTCAGTTCACCTTGGAATATATGGATACCTCCAGGGGCTATGTATGTATTAAACCTCCATCTAGATAGTCGAGGCAATACCATACAATTTCCTGAGCAATGATCCGCCAACTTTATCAGGCCTCTCTGGCGGCGGTACTGGCGTTTTTTTCGTGGGTAAGGTAAGCCTTTTCGTTTCAACCCAGGCAGTGGGTAGGGTAATCAGGGAATACCAAGGCATGACCCTACCTGGCAACATCCCGTGCAGGGGATGATGATCTAGCAATGATTATTCTTACGGAAGCGCCGCATTTATTCAACACTGTCCTGACGAGGCTCCCGTCGCATTTTTCTGTTGTCTTTTTGTGCGTGGACATGTCATCTACAGATCCATCCATATCCACCTCCTACTCTAATCAAAAGAACCCTTTCTCAGACCTTCAGCCGTGCACATCCCCCGTCTTCATCATCCCCTCCAACCTCTCCAGTTTCTCCCCAATATGCCTAATCGGATTCCCCATCTCCCATTCTTCCTTACTCCTCAACATATCCCTGCCCTTCGCACCTAAGAACGTAAAACACCGCCCGATCCCTACAGCCTCCAACGCATCCAGGCGATCCGCATCTTGCACAATCACAAGCTCAACATACCCCTCCTCGCCAATTAACTCCCGTACAGCGGGACAGATCCTTACACTCCATCGTATACGAGACATGCGAGACGATCATCTGGACCCGGTTTCCAAGCACCGAATCCGTCCCGTTGCAAAAGGAGAATATGCTCGACTAACTTGTGCGGTGGAATTGCGTTTGCTTCTTGCGATTTGAGAAGATACTTTCAGTCGCTGATTCCGTGGAGCAGGGCCGCGAGGTGCACGGTGAGTTTGTCGGGTTTGCTGGAGCTGCTGGCATTGTCGTCGTTGTTGGAGTCTGTACCATCGTTGTTGTTGACGAAGTCATCCGAGTTGGAGTTGTCGGTGTCCTCCCCATCGTCGCCCAAGCTGTCAAGCGTTCAGAGGGAAGTGGTCGTCTGGCGGTCTCTACGGCTGTGCCCTGGGCACGTGGAGGTGTAAGAGAAGCAAAAACCCCTTTTAGTCCTGCAGAGGATGCTGCTATGATACACATGCTTGAAAACCTTAGTGGCCCCCGGAGAGACCATCTACGTGCTATATTCGGCCGCTCATATGGAAACATAAATACTCCAGTCTTATGAAGTTATCCGCACATGTTCTGTTTAACTCCGGCAGTGACTCACTGCATTGCCATGATCCACAGGGCTGAGCATGAACATCTTCTCTCTGTCAGTCACTCGCCACTGCTTTGACTGAATGACTCGAATCGTATAGTAGTCTATGGAAGACTTTGTCCGTTCCTACATCAGGTCTACTGTGACCATGGCATTTACCCGGTTCGTTACTGTACTCGTCTTTCAACGGATTCATTGAAGCTATCCTCTATGCGGTGGGTATCATCATTCCATGTGTACTTTTAGTAGTTTCGTGGCAGCAAGCCTGTAGACAATATCTGTTGCTGAGATGGTTGCGTGTCACTCGTTATTGAAGTGCTGCAATCCCAGTAACAGACAGCCCCTCAACCGGTCCAGCCGGCAGATCGACATATATCGCTACCTCCTCATTTCAACTTCTTCGTCTTGCGCAATTCATCCTTCTTCTTTCTCCGCTCCTTCTTGTTATCATTGTGCTCTTCCTTGCTGACCCTCCTCTTCTGCTTATCCTTGCGCTTCTTCTTATCATCAGTGCTCTTGCCCGACGGCTTAGGTGCGGGCTTCACAAGCTCCTCGGACTCGGATTCACTCTCGGAGTTGCTTGTCGCATTCTGCGATGACTGCTGAGACGTAGCACCTGCTTTTTTAGCCAGTATCGATGCCTTTAACTGAGCGCGTGCCCTTTCCTTTGCCTCCTGCTCCTTGCGCGCCAGGTCGATTTTGTCATTTCCAGCCTACTCAATTAGCCTCGACCCTCAAATGTGCCGTGTAGGAGTAACTCACAAGACCATGTTTAATAAAGCGACTGGCAGCCTGCTTGTCAAGAGTTAGAGTACGCTTTTCCGGCTCGGCTTCGAGCGCGGTGATCTTCGCAAAGTATTGCTTGACTCTAGTTAATTCTCTAAACACGGAGTGTTCCTTAGCATTGACGCCGTGAAGACGCAGATACGCTGTAGAAATTAGCAAATATCTCTGCTCCATCGGGCGGTAATGACATACAGAAAATAAGAGACTCCAGCGCGTAAGTCACCAAGACGTGAAATTTCGCTTTATCCATCACCGGAAGCTTCTTCGACGTCTCCACCACGGAGCTGTCCAGGATGGGCTTCAAAGCCTCTTCAAGATCATCGATGTTGTCATCCAGCTGCTCAATCAGCGGAAGTAGGTCTGCTGCCTCCATTTTGATTATGTGTACGAATATCTGGGGAGGAATCGATGATGTTGGGTTGAGAAGAAGCGGATAATGTCGATTTTTTATCTACGGGCGGTCTCTAAGGCGGTGAAAAGCTATTTGTCCGCCTTCTCCCTCATGCGATGCCGACTTCACTCTCGATCTATATCTTCCTGTTAGTTTGCATATCGTTGTTAGGACTGTGAGTCCTTGGGGCAATTGTCATTTGCTTCATCTTAGAATGAGACGGTGATTATATTACCATCACCTCTCAGCTTGTACGGTGCGTGAACTCGAACTCACTGTATTTACTCTCCAGCCGTCAAAGTGTCGTACATACTGGGGCGCAGTCCGCTTCGGCGGACGACAGTCTGCGAATTATGTCTTGTTAAAAGACGTAGTTTGCATCCCAAATCATATGGTCGATTCGTATCGACCTGGATGCAGAACGCCGAAGAAGCGTCGAAAGACAGTGGAAAGCGCCGACTATCTGGACGCATACATATCCTAGGCCTTGGGAATGTAGGCACATTTGTTGCCCACTCTCTCGCAAGTCGTCCGTCACCTCCGCCTGTCACTCTACTCTTGCATAACCCCAATCTGTACAAGTCATGGCTGGGGAGAAAAAAGTGCTTAGCAATCAACTCGAATGGATTGGACGATATCAAGACGGGCTTCGATGTCAACGTCCTGAATGGCAAAGCATGGCATGCATTCCCATACTGGGATAAAAACGGAAAGAACGGGGAAGCCATAGCTCGTGTCGACGAGGTCGATGTTGAAGGGTCCCTGGCTGGGTCTGTCCAAGATGAGGAGCGCATCGAATGCTTGGTCGTTAGTGTCAAGGCGCCGGTGACAGCTATGGCATTGGAATCCGTTAAGCATCGTTTGACACCCGACTCTACGGTCCTACTACTTCAGAACGGCATGGGCGTCATCGATGAGCTCAACGAAAAGGTCTTCCCTGATCCCCGCAAACGCCCGAACTACATGCAAGGCATTGTCTCGCACGGGCTGGCCCGCAGAAAGGAACCATTCCAAGTCGCCCATACGGGCATCGGCACGACCATTCTCGGACCGGCCCTGCCCTCAAACTCGACAACTCCGATTAGCGAAAATGAGGATGACTGGGCCGCAAGCACCAAGTACCTCCTGCGGACCATGACTCTCACTCCGCCACTGGTTGCTGTCGCGGAGACTCCGTCCGCTCTTATGCTCTACCAGCTCGAGAAGCTGGCGATGAACGCCGTCATCAACCCGTTGACAGCTGTGATGAACTGCGAAAATGGCGAGCTGCTCTACAACTACAGCTTCACGCGCGTGACGCGATTGCTCCTCCATGAGATCTCGAGCGTGATCTGCGCCCTTCCCGAACTACAGGGCATCCCAGGCATCGAAAGCCGATTCTCCCCAGAACGACTGCGCTGGATGGTTACTCAGCTTGCCAGCAAGACAGCGAAGAACCACAGCTCGATGCTTCAGGACGTACGCGCCGGCAAGACGACCGAGATCGAATATCTGAACGGCTACATCGTGCGCAGAGGCGAAGAACTCGGCATCAAGTGCGTGGTGAACTACATGATGAAGCACCTGGTTTTGAGCAAACAGCACACGTCGAAGCAAAGAGATGCCAGCGCCATTCCGATTGACATTCTGTAGTCTTTCCAGTGCTGATGCCTGTACTTATATTTGAACCGATTGATACTACTAGTTAATATACCCCTTCTTTATTCTATACACATCTCCCCTCCCCCATCCCCTTTTAGAAATGATATCATATCATGAAGACATCCGATCAATCGCCTCCTCACAAAGCGCCCTAATCTGCCTCCACCTCTTCAACAACATCCTAACCACGCCTTGATCCTCCGTCTGGGCAATATACAAATCCTCTAATCGCGCCATCGCCTCATCCGCTTCCTTGATATACACACCAATCCAGCCCCGAATCACAGCCGCAGACATCTTCTCGTCTACCCCGTCGGTCGAGTATCCTAGCACATAGTCCTGCCAAAGTCGTAGTGGCATGTAGGTTAAACCGGCGGCGATTTCTGTTCGGTAGCAGACGCCCTCGGAGGTGAGTTGGTAGTTTCTGTGTTTGGTTATGGCTTCGTTAGTGGTGTGTGGTGATAGATAAGTGAATGGGAGGCGTACCCGTAGTATTGGTGGAACTCGAGTTCTTCTTGTTTTGAGGCGTTCAGGTCCTGCAGGATTATCTCGTCGAGATAGAGGGTTTCGGAGGCGTTGGTGTCGAGGTAGAAGCCGTCTAGATGGGTTGATTAGGGGTATGGATGGTGATGTGGGATTGTAGGGGATCGGGGCTTACATTCTGTGAACAGGAAATCGTTCGAATGAGGGCCGTAGCTCATGTAGATTTCCTCTCCTTCGTCTGTATATCTTGTCAGCATATCGCTGTCTTTGTCACCAAAGTAGTAATGAAAGAGAGGTAAAAAAACGTACTATACTCCTTCGCCGCACGAAAGACATACTCCTCCCCGTCGAACTTGACATTACACTATCCATCCACGATATCTCACGTTAGCCAATCTCATCCAACATACACAGATAGAATAGAAGGTATATACCGCCACATCCGAATGGTTAAAATAATCGGCGAACGGCACCAACGCCATCGCATCATTCCTATCCTCCGGCATTTCCGCCCCGGGCAGAAGATAAAAGAAGCTTCGCGTGTTCACAATCACCCAATGGTACGTGAACAGCTCTTTATCTGTCTCGGGGAATACCCGGACAACGATATCCCATGCTTTGCGGAGACGGGTTTCTTGTGCTTTGAGGAGGTTCTGATGCCGTGTATCATACTTGTGTTTCCGTTTCCCGGGGCTTATGGTGCTCCAGGTGTTGGAGATGGAGGGGGGGAGGAGGTCCTGGATTTTGCTGGTGTTTCTGGTGCTGCTGGGTGATAGGGGGGAAGATGAAGACCAGAGGATAGGCATGCTGGAGGTAAAGTCTTCCATTGTGGGCCAGGTGTTGCGCCATGGTGTGAGGTGGGAGGGACTGGCGTTGGTGAGGTATGCGGCGTAGAGGGTGTGGGTTGGTGTGTCTGCTGGGAAGCGCGAGGTGAACGTAGATGGGAGTTTGGAGGGTGTGAGCATTGCGGAGTGGGGGACTTTCACAAGGATGGAGTCTTTCTGTTATATCATTTAGATGTTAGTTGGTGTATGTGAGTTTGAGGGGGTGTAAGCGTGGGGATGTACTTCTATCTTTCGCGTTGCGATCATACCGAGACCGCGGCCGGGGAATCGCGCTGGACTGACCCCATTGATGACGATGCCTTGTGATTTAGCCCATTCTGTGAAGAGCTCGTGCTTCTCGCCGGGCCACCAGGTGGGCTTCATGTTGACAGTCGGTTTAGACAATTGAGGGGTAAGTTGTTGGTGTGGAGGGGATTGAAGGATGAGGAGGGGTACGACAAGTATTTATGGGAGGGTGAAGACAAACAAAGCTCCCCTGTTTGAATCTGCGTAATCATTCACTAATCAAAGTATATGCAGCGATATCAATGCCTCCGTATCCCTCAATGACAATTCAAGCAAAGACGATCAGATGCGCCAAAAAACCGCCGATAAAGAAAAAGATTATCTTATCGATCTTTATCAGCCCTACGGCACCGCACATCCACCACTAGCGCCATCCGGCTCCGAAAGCATCCCATCGTACCACACCCTCATCTACATCCATCCGGCCCAAGGATCATGTCCATTGCGACGTGTTACCCTTCACTCGACACACGATGACAGTCCTCCGGACGCGCAGCGCCGTCCAGCACGCGCGCGAGCTAAACAATATCCTCTCCTGCGCAGCACCGCTATCGCTCCGCGCCCACTCACGGCCTATCTCCGGCTTCAA